CCCCCCCCCCCCGGCGCAGTGCCCCCGAAGTGTGTTGTAGTTGTCGTAAGTCACCCATCTGTTTGGCGTCGTGTTAGTAGTTGCCTATTTCGTTGTTCCGGTGGACTGGAGCGTTGAAGGGGACCAGTCTATCGTCATGTTTTTCTTGTTGTCTTCGTTGTCTTCCTCTCGTCCATAGTCTTTTCTTTCATTGTCGTTCGTTCTCTCATCCTTTTTGACCCAGGGTCGATCGTCTGTATCCCGGTTAGTGTTTTTTTTATTTGGGGTAAAAGCAAATCGCGCCTTGGAGGACCTTTCTGGGGTCCACTTTTTTATATATATAGGTATAGTGTGAAGGCGTACCGATTCAGTAAAAGTCAATCGACGGATACCCTGCGAATCGGAAGTGTCACAAGGTTCTTTGTAGGATCGACTCCAAGAGGTGTTCTCAGGACTGACCCACATTGTGTCCGTGGGAAAATGTCCAAGGCAGGAGAAAAAGTGTGCACCCAAGGAGATTCGAACCAGTATCCTGCCGCTGACGCCACATGCGAAGGTGTACCGATTCAGGTAAAAGTCAATCGACGGATACCTGCGAATCGGGTCCTCCTTAACAATAGCCCTTTGGGGTACAGTTGGTTTGTGACCGCGAAGGCGTCCGCGTCAGTTGGACCAGGACGGACATTAGAAGGTATTGAACCTGAGACCGGAACGGTTTTTTAATGTGAAGACAACAATGACAACAATTATTCTCCTCCCGAGGCGCGGGTGATCAATGAACCGAGTGGCGAAACAGGAACGGTGGGCGAACACACCGGGTTTGGCGGCCAAGCCCCCCCCCAGACCTTCCATCGGATAGCAAGGTTATCAGCCTCTCTTTTCGCTGTGAAGGCTCTCTACCATCTGCTTTATCAGCGGATGGTGTTGGAGATACGTATATCTTGTATCAAAGATCTCGGATTGTTATAATTGCAATTCGGCACCGGGGTCGGAGAGATTGCATCGGCCGGAGAGATCGTACCGGGGTGCGAGAAACCCCCTCTCAAAATTCAATAGGAACACATATCGCACCCGGTGCCATCTCTCCGCCTCTCACGGTGACCGCTAAATGCTTTTGGGCGCCGAACGATGTTAAGGTCCGACGCCTCCTTGTTTCTTCTCTTTTACGATGAGGAGGGTCGACTCCGTTATGATACGCGCACATCAGGGACAAAGCGCGGTTATTGATATCCATGCTCGATTGCAAAACCACGCTTTCGTGGGGTCCTTTAAGCAACGAGTGGCACTGTAATAGGAAGGTACAGGGGCCTAGCTTCGTGTCAATTGAGATATAGCATACAACCACTTTCATAGCAATGGAAGCTTCGGGATTAGTGTTGTGACCACAACATCTGTAAAGAAATGAAAATAGGGGTGATCTTGTCCCAGCCGCCGCCCACTTAGCTCATGAGCTCGTAACCACGACAAACCGTCACAGGGAGGGGGGGGGGGGGGGGNATTCGGCGAGTCGCATGAAGGGTGCGCTGCATCCTGCTAAGGGTGTTCGGCATCTTGTGCTTACTTCCTTGCGTACGGATGACAGCTGCGTATGACTTTATTTATTTTCTGGTGCTTTCACTTCCAGAGACAGTTGTAAGCACTGTGTAACTGCCTCGAGGGTGCTTGACCATTTTAATACAACGTGGTGCATCCATCCCTCTCGCGCGGAGTGGGGGTTCTCGACCCCGCAAAACATGATCTACTCGACCACCATTATGGTTACCGCCAAAAAAAACAGNGGGGGGGGGGGGGGGGGGGGGGGGGGGGGGGGGGGGGGGGGGGGGGGGGGGGGGGGTCACAGGGAGCAGGCGGACAATGGCTAAACAGGAAACTGGAGCACGGCAACACCCGAGAGAGCTTCGGCCGCATTTCAGCATCCCGGCAGGATCGGGTCATGCATCCATCAATAGGCGTCGGTAATGTGGAGCTTCTCGTTCTCCTGGTATTAAGAAGCCTGAGAAAGTT